ATCAGCATGCGTTTTGTACATACTTGCATTTAAGAGGTTGATTTTAATTGCAGCTAAATTCTACCATCACTGAATGAACCAGTTTAACTTCTGCAAGACTATCATGATGATTCTATTTATAACTTTTGACAACTCAAACTTAATGCAAGTTAATAACCTGATATGCTTGTAGAGACTTTGGTCACATATTCCTGTGTTATACACAGACACATTATGTATGGAATCTTGGTTCTGGGCATTCCTCTGGCAGGATATGTCAACCAGTCACAAAAAGCCTTACTGAAATAAACTATATTGTTCATCTACAGTGATCCTGATTTGTAATTGTTGGATGTAGTCACAAGACAAAGATCTAATACTCCAACCATACATACCACAACATTGTGAATAAAGTGCACGCATCATGTTGGAAATAATTGTGCTTTATATATATTTTTTAATTTTCATTCTTGAGTAAATTATTTGAGTCAAATGGAGTCTCTATTTGCATTGATCATGACCATGTATTATGCAAATGAAGCAAGGATGTCCTATTTCTTGGATAATAGTCCAGTGTCTGGTGCAGACTCCCATATAATTTTTTGAATTTCTCTGAACTGTGGATGAGCAGCATCTCGCACAAGTTGTAATATCATTGATTCACTTGTGGTAATAAAAGCACCACTTTGACGCATCCGTTTGAATGCATACATCCTGAAACAAAAAAAATCATTGTGTAAATATTTACTCCTGAACCAGATCTAAACATAAAAAGAAAACAAGTCATTGTTTGTATTATAGGTACATGATATCTATCGCTTGATTACCAAAGCAATATCATGTATGCGGCATGGCTTCATTGAACTACATTCATTATATATTCGACCACCAGTCGGTCGATTTGATGCTGACAAAAATACATGTGAAAATATTTAAATTGATCGATCCAAGCATGTGTGAGATGAAGTCCTGACAAAAAAATGTGGTTATTGTTATAAAACAAATGTGACGCCACTTTAGACCGAAGCACTTACTCTACCAACAATATTACAAGAGTAATAATTGTATAATTATGGGGTTATAATAAAAAATTTGGACTCCGCTGTGATGTATAGTGCCCTTGGGAGTCGCCTCGTTGGACTTCCCAAAGGGGGCGTTATTATTTGATTTTTGCCACGTTGGATAGTAAAGCTAAACCTACGGTACTAAAATATGACAATGCTACATCAACTAACATATGGTATAATTATATTATAACTAATCAGGACTGCAGCTTTTCCCAAAGTACACGTACCAAATATCCTGCGTTACACAATGCTTGTTGCTACACCATATTTGTAAGCCTTTCAGAATGTAGCTATTTGATTGGTTGAATTATTAACAAGTTGATTGTCATATGAAATAGTGTAGAACATCACACAAGACCTGTGGTCTCAATTCAAGCAGGTGAATTAGCACAGAGCTAAGCATTGTTTAAATATCTACTTCAATGAAGATTGATAGGCATGTTAGTTTAAAAGTAAAATTCAATTTTCGGACAAGCAAAAGGGAAACCTGAAAAAGCGACCTTTATTTATAGTCACTTAGTAGATTCATTAGTAAAGTAGTACCTGTCTACCAAGCTTCTAGAGGAACATGCATCTACAATGACATGTACGTCTATTTCTTTTTCAAGAAGATCCAATGCAGTTGACTGAATGCATGCCTGCGTTTCAATACCACACAGTACAACTCTTTTCACACCAAGATTCTTAATATGTTCTTCTATTTCCGGAGTTAACATGGTAAAGCATGTCTTTTCAACTTTCTTGGTTCCCTCAATATTCAGCTCAGGCACAGTACGTCCCAAACCTATGAACAGTGTCAACAAACATGTTATCATGCGTGTGGTTATATCAATGAAGCTACCATCTCTGCTAAACTGATTACCATGGAATAATCTTCAATTTGTATAACAAGCAGCCTCTTGGCTGAGATAGCTCCGCTGTTAGCAATCCATGTTTCAATTAAAGAACTGAAGATATCATTAGAAAAATGAACAAATCTGAGAGAGGTCTATCTGAGATACCTATATGTACCCGGTATAACATCAAAGCTATACTGATGTAATTCAGAATACTAAGTACCCAATAAAAAGTCTATTAAAAACAAAAAAATGAGAGATTGATATAATTTTCTCGTATGCATTTTTGCTTCTGGATATTATCAATGACATTTTTGAGCAAGTGGACATGATGGAGATTTCTCTAGTTTTCAGCTTCACAGTAACCGTATAAATTTGTATACCCTGGTAAGTCCTAAACTGTGGCTATAAATATTTGAGAAATCTAGTACAGGTTAATTGTTATGTTTCTTCTATATAAGTTTTATAAGAGCAATCATGTGTTTTCTTAATTTGAATTTATACAATGTGTTATCACATACTTTGTTTTGCCTGGCCTCGTAACTCCATGGGAAGTGCACCCTCACATCAGGGCAATAATTTTCTGTATCACACCTGGCCAAGCGTGCCCAGCTTTCCTCAATCAAAACAAAACAAGTCATTCTAAATTACTTTGTGTGTTTGAGGTCACACCATGGTAAAATTGTAATTACACCTATAAGGTATATGATAAAACTTTTATGGACTGGACACATGAAGCTGGGAGCAGCCACTGGTGGCGCTGTATACAATCAAAACCTATTGAGGCTTGCCTATGTTCATTCAGACTTTAGTTAAATTTGGTGACTAGTTTAGTATGATAGAAAGCGTGTACAGTCTTACAGAATATAAGTGATTTCAGCATTTCATGATAAATGCTTTCTATTAATAAGTGCACTTTCAAATAATATTCATGAGCTACATGTATGCCTATGTCATAACCTTGTTAAAACCCTCGGCCGCAAAAGCTGTGTCCAGTTCTTATAGAATAATTTTTGCACACTTAACTACAACAATCATGTAGCTTAGTCCATGATGCAACATATGTTTTATTTCAGTGCAAGAGTTCAATAGCAATAATCAAATGTATGGAAACGTTTTACTTTGTTGCAGTTACACGCAATAGAATTTAAATTACTATTGAATTATAAAACTTTTATTATTCAGAAAAAGACTGACAGGCTAAGAAAATAAAGTACATTTTAAATCACAGTTGACCCCCCCCCCCCAGATTTGAGCCATCCCTTATTATTTCAACGAGATCGTTCTAAGATGCCTTTGGTGTGAGACTTAGAGGTCAGAGGTGTACTTTACCTTTCGGGTACTGCTCAGTCGTTACAATCGGCATTTTCAACACCTTTGCTGCTGACAACATTCGTGCAGATACTTCTACAATCTGTGGGAAATACTTGATCGTTGGGCGAAATTTCTCTTGCATATCGCAGAGAAAAAGCGCCGTATTGTCAACCATAACTTTTCCTATCCTACGCGTAGCCATCTTGCCAGTTAGTGGAAGAGACCACTTGTGATGGCGAAGAGAAGCATTAAGTTACTATTTCAATAATGCACATCAAAAATAATGTCAACAGTAAAATTAACATATTCTGATAACATATTTCGAATGAATTACACCCAAAAAGCTTGCTTTAACATTGTCCAACACGTTCGATGAGGCCAAATAACAATCTTATATACCTGCAAATAAAATGGTAGAATCCACATCACGTGATCCAACTTTTCAACCTTTAACCTTTCCTATCAGGTGATACCAGATAGCGATCGTCCCATCGTGTATGAGCTCCACACTGATTTCAGACCAGACTGCTCTAATAACTGATAGCCGCATCGAATAGGCATTAGCTGGCAGTCCAAGCATTTCACGCGTACATACAGGGACTCTGGTATCAACGCCAAATAAAACAGGTACAGTGCTATCCATTATTTTTCAAAATATATATCCTATTCATTCAGCCCGTTCACTTATTGGATAATTACACCTTTTATTTGTAAATAAATGTTATGGCCGATAATTTGTTTTTATTTAGTTATCATTGCGATTCATATTTCAGAATTATATCAAAAGCCAGTTATCTAAGTTTACCTGCATTATCTGAGAATCACTAAATATTCACTCATTTCAAATATAATTCTCAGATTAAAAAAAACACAATAATGTTTCTATAGTATGCTATCCCTACCACTACACCTATTAACTGTTAACCACGAGTAACAATAAATCATAAATCTCTGGAGGTATAATAATATTGAAATAGTAAAAAAATATGTGTCCTGCATGAATGCTCACACCTTGATACAAATTATGATTTAACACTGAATAGAAAATTGCTTCCTTTGGGTGGATACAGGGGGATTCATAGGTTCTGTAGAAACCTACTAAAAACTGAAGAATTGTATAATTTTGTTTGTATTATCTCTTTTATTTTTCCTTTAACGTTGCAAAGAACTGACTAGAATAAAATTCTAGATTCACCCATGTTAAATCATACAACTTTTAAAAATACGTCTGATTTTCAGGTTATCTGATCTTTGTGCCTTACGTGTAAATAAACCATTCATTGATAAGTATCTTGATAAACTGTGCAGTTGTGGGCAGTCTGGGGGCAAAGTCAGAACAATATCCGGTGCTTGTCAATTGCATCCTTCCTTGTGTCAAGGTTTAAATAATTTGGGTTTCATCCAAACTAGATAAATATGGAAATGAGGTCATTATTCGGATTCTTGTTGGCTTTAGTGATTGTGGTTTCCTCGCCTTACTCTGCAACAACTGAAGTACTCTATAGTAACATTATTCTTGTTGGAGCCACAGGAGATCTAGCCAAGAAATATCTATGGCAAGGAATGTTTAATCTTTTTCTAGGTAAATACTTTTTTAATTACTCATTACTCGTTTTCTTTTATGATTGAATAACAAAATTTAAAACATGTTAAAAACAGAGGAAGTGAAAACATTTCATCTGATTCATCGTTATTCTAAATATTACAAAAATCATGACTTCCACAAGCAGTTTTTAAGTTAAAGCATTTGAAATTTATTCCTACATCTATCATAATTGTAGGGTTGCTGAATTATCTGAGAGCATCATTTCTAAGAAGATTACTGTGAATTATTTTAAGAACCATCAAAATTGTGAGGGTATAACATAATCTGATTTCACTCATCACACAATATAATATTTTGACCTAGAATGTTTGCGCCAATTTAAACATAATTTTATTACTAGTCTTGACCAAAATTTATTCTTGAATAAAATGTGTCATAAAACATGAGAATATTTTGACAGTAGAAATCGTTGACACTTTTATTGAGCATGTCAGTGATAGTCACATTATAAAATGATATATAGAATACTGCCCTCAAGTTAATCTCTACAAATAATCTAGTTCCTATTTGAGTTACTGTACATTCACATACAATAATTAAAATTGGTTTAATATTTTAAAATCTGATCAAAATATGTAGGCAACATAAAATTTGGTCCTAAATTAAAGAAAATGTAAAACAATTTGCAGTTTTATTCTGTTGTGTTAATATTGATTTATCTATAAAAATTATCACACAGAAAAGTCCAGTAATGACCACATTTTCCATTTCTACGGTTCTGGAAGAACTCCACAAGAAACTGCCGGACCAGCTCTACAGAAAATCCTGGAGGAAAATGTAAAATGTGATAATATAGATAGAGATGATTGCAGTGTTAGGAGAAGACAGTTTATTGAGTCCACGGAGTACCATCAGTTGAAAAGTGCAGACCATTATGTGAGCTTAACTATAAAAATAGAGAAAGCACTGAATGCATTGAAAGTTAATGAAACTGGAACTTTAGCTTTTCTGTCTGTGCCACCATTTACATATGCAGATATTGTTAATAATCTTCATGAAGGTAAGTTTATTGCAATTATTAAGTTTGCTAAATATAGACATATACAATGAATATTTGTCTTATTTTAATAATCTAGTGTACAATTATTAATGCAATTTCTGGTACACTTCTATTTTAGTGCTTTACATAATTTACATTAATTTGAGTAATTTTATATTTCAAGTCCACAATCAATCTTTGTGTAGAAAATAGTTTTTAGAACACAAGTTTAGATGGTTGTCACTCATTGAAATAACAAGATCATTGATCGAAATTTACTTTTTGTTTATTACCAAATTGACATTCAGTTTTCTTCATTGTGTACAGTTTTTGATATCCTATGTGTCCAAATCACCCAAAATTAGAAAATGTTATTATTTTGATGACCTTATTTATGCATTTGCATACAATTTACATAATTAATGACATCATTCTACCAGTCTACCATACTGTAGAATACATTTGTACTCCACATAAGTCAGTATACTAAACTTTTTACAGATCTATTAAATTCTATTTATTTATATAATTTCTATTAGTAAATTAAATTTCAAGTTCAAGCAGTGCACTATTTTAATTAGACAACTTTTATTTTTGATCTCAATTAAAAGAAAATATATGTGCAGTTGTTATTGGTTGCAGGATCATTCTGTTTCGTTTTTTCTAGAATGTCGGCCACCGGATTCCTGGTTCAGAGTGGTATTAGAAAAACCATTTGGACATGACACAGAATCAGCAGAGAAGTTGTCCCGAGATATTGCGACTAGTTTAAAGGAAGATGAAATCTATAGAATTGATCATTATCTAGGAAAGCCAGGTGAGTTCTTAATTAACATCATTTAGAGATACCAGAGAATGATTTTTGACATTGCAATAGAAAGGAATCAGGATAATTATTTGAATAATGCATCAATTAGCTCTGAGATCAAATTAAGGCTTACTGATGGATCACTTAGTATAGTATTAATATGAGAAAACACAGACACTGTATCAAATGGAAAATTGATATGACCACCCCCATGATATTATAGCATAACTATTACAACCTTGTCCATTGAGAACATAGATTAAATGTATACATACAAACGATGCAATAGTTTTTTTGCATGGCAAAGGCGAATATAAAAACAGTGCAAAAATATATTATTTATAGTATAAGCATTTTACGCAGAAAAAAATAGCTAAAAAGTCATCATAATTACATAAAAAATTAATTAATTAATATTCATGTTCCTGAACTAATACTACATGTACTGTGTTAATCTCAATGTTCCTCATAGAATAATATAACTGGAATTGTAAAAAAAAAAAATTCTAAAAAGTAATAGTATATAGTAATAGTATAAACAAAATGTGGCAAGAAAAATACTGGCCAATCTGTTTTTCAATTAATACTACATACATTTACTATATTTATGTCTATGTCCCTTGTCTGGATCACATTATAAGGAACAAATTAGATGTTGTACACAATTAAGAGATGTAATTATCATAGTATAAACTTATAACATCCCACAATGAGAGGTAGAATTTATAGCCCAGAGTTAAGCACATTTAACAGAAAACAAATATCTGACATTCTGTTGTGCTATGTGGGTCAGATGTCCACTCTTGACTTTACTGGATGAGTATCTGAATATACAGGTGTTGTTGACCAATCAGTGATTGAAATTATACACTGTGACGTTATTTAAATTTGTAACCTTCATCTCTTACCAACCGGGTATCCATATTAGCGCATAGCGAAGGCTGCAATTAACACTGAATTGTTGCAGGGACGAGAGATACAGTCGGAGATGAGAACCATACCAGATAACGTTATTCTGTGCTCATATTTCATATTATTTTCAGGTGTCCAGCAAATAATGCCATTTAGATTTGATAACAAAGATAAATATGACCAGATATGGAATAAAGATCATATTGAGAGAGTAGAAATTGTTATGAAAGAAACACTTGATTGTAAAGGTAAACCAGTCATTAATACTGCAACCCATTGTTATCAACCCTGGAAACCTGGAAACCCACACTATAGTGTTTTTGGCTTGTATCACAAAAAAATGATATAATTGAAAAATTCAGCATTTTCTATCCTGTTGTTCATTTTGTCATTTGCTTATAAATAATTCAATACCTAGCATGTGATATTGAAAGAGATATTCTAAGAAAACCACCATCAGAATTAGCAATACCTCAGTGTTTGGAGGCTCAATCTGCTTTGATGGAGTTTGTGGGTTAAACCCAACCCATGGCCAACTTTCCGCTCCGCTCAGCTTTCATCAAAGATGACAGAGCGGAGATATTCATATAGGTCGCAACAATTTTATTTTCAACTTCTTGAAAACTACCAGGCCAATTACTTTATTACTTGGAATGTTGGTACATTGTGTAGACCTCTGTCAGATTTATGTATTTTGTGACTATATCTTAGCGTATTTTGGTAACAAATACTGTGTTCAATATTATCTTGAAAACTACCGGCTCAAATTGATACTTGGTATGTAAATATCTTGGGTGGACCTTTGTTAGATTTGATTTATTAATTTATCAACACATAACATCCTTCGGAAGAGATGTAAAAAAATTACAATTGAAAAACAATGAAAAAACAAACAAATAAAAACACAAGTAGAAGAAGAAAAAATACTATGAAAATTCAAATCAGACTAAGGTGCTGTTTCTGCATACTTAATGAGATAAAATGTGCAAGAGGTTTGATAAGTCATTGGTAGCCATTATGTATTCAAATTTATCATGTTTTTAGCATCTGAAAACAACTTCTTTCTGTGCATTTAGTATTTTGTCGAACCATTACAAAATGTTGTCCATCACAAGATTCACAGATCCTTTCATCAGTATTAAGACACTTTATAAGTTATTATGTCTCCCCACTATGATGTTTAAGTTATTTTGTTATTATTACTCCTGAAACAGTGGAGGTATTTTGACTGTCAGGTCACTTCTTTAATAGTTGAGGAAAAACTTGTCAATTCGAGACATTGCACCTTGAATAAAGTACAGTAGCGACCCAATTAAAAAAAAAAAAAATATGCACTGTGTATATCTCTTACGAGAAAAACTAAACAGGTTTTTTTTTTTCTTCACATATTCATAGGCATCTAAATATCTCTCCTCTTTGCATTCTTTTTGACAGGTCGAATGAACTACTATGATGAGTATGGTGTCATCCGAGATGTTATCCAGAACCACCTTACAGAGATTCTCATCCTTATTGCCATGGAAACACCATCTAACTTAACTGACAGAGCCGAACACCATCGTAAAAAACTGCATCTTCTGAAGCATGTCAAATCACTTGGGTCCGATAGTTGTGTGATTGGTCAGTACACCAACTATAATACCCAAGTTAAAGATGAGCTCAAGAAGGACGATGACTTTCAGAGTGTTACTCCGACATTTGCAACGGTTGCCATGGAGATAAATAACCCTAGATGGAAAGGCGTTCCATTTATTTTAATGTCTGGTAAAATGATGGATGAAAAGAGTGGGTATGTTCGAGTGGTATTTAAACAAAATATCCTCTGTGGCTCAGTACCAGCAAACGAATTCAACTCGTGCTACCCAAGACAAATTGTCTTTGTAACTGGTAATTCTGATACAAAGCACCCCATTTTACTTGTGTCTAAGAGTCTCCCAGAACCTAATGTACGTGATAACTTGAAAGCTAGTAATCTTGAGTCGAGTGCAGACGTTTTTGGTCTCAAAAAATCTGACTATTTTTCTTATAATTTGGTGGAAAGCCAAGATGCATACAGTAATCTGATAACAGCCGCGTACGAGGGTCGCAGGGATTCATTTGTCGGCACAGAGGATTTAATAGCTTCATGGAAAATATGGACGCCATTATTACAAAGCATCAAGAAGAAAAAACCAAGGTTATACCCAGGAGGGAAGTCAAATTCTGATTGGTTGAATGTTGTAACACTCGGTAATAAAATAGAATATTTATACGGTGTCAATGTAATTGATTTTCCTCCAGATTCGGTGAACACTAAAACCATCCCATCACATTACCGGTCTCAGCCTTTACGCACCGGTAATTTAAATCAAGTGATTAAGAAGTTGGCAGATGATATTGAAGTGCTTGCTAAAGAATCAGTTGAACTTAATGGCGTGTTTCACATGGCTTTATCAGGTGGTAATACACCTAACAAGCTCTTAACCCATTTGGTTCTTCACTCTGATGCGTTTCCATGGCACCACACTCATGTCTGGCAAGTGGATGAAAGATGTGTTGATTTGAAGAGTAATTTGTTGAATTTCAACCACATCAATGAGAATCTATTGCAATATGTGCCTGTGCCATTACATAACATCCATTCCATGCCGGTTGATCTTGTCAAGAATGAATATGAACCGGGTAAAGACTTGGGAAGTGCTGTTTACGGAGCAGAAATTGAAAATATTGTTCCCAATGAATCAATGGATCTTATTCTGCTTGGAGTTGGCACTGATGGCCATACTGCATCTTTGTTTCCACGACAATCAAGTAATAATGTAGATAAAACAGAAAGAGAGTACAAAGAGGAGGAAGACAAGCTTGAAAATGACCTTGTAGCATTGGTCAACAATGGACCAGAAGATGTATCACCTAAAAGAATGACAATGACATTGGATTTAATCAATAAATCCAAGAATGTAGCTGTATTGGTGACAGGTGGTGGCAAAAAGAATATAGTGTCTGTGTTAAAGGATGCTGTTAAAGACAGCAGTAAATGGCCAATCACAGGTGTGGAGTTAGTGGATGGTGACATGGCTTGGTATATTGACCATGATGCATTGCTGTAATGCATACATGTATGAGAAGTGATACTCTCTCCCCCGAGTGTTGATGGAGCTACAACATTGATAAAAAGGCCTGTTCCTGTTGACAGGATGAAAAAAATCAAAATTCAGCTACAGACAGTCACAAATGTAACAATTTTCTTCCCATGAACTAAAAATGAAATAAAATCCTAATTTTTGTAGAAAGTAATTTTATTCTCCAACCATCTTATTAGATGGGTAACTGTTAAATTCAAACACCAGGCAACTTATTTTAGACTTGAGAAAACTTGAATTTATCATTGAAGGCATATTAAATTTCTGTAAGTTGTATAGCATAAGATTATATTTTGTTAAAAATATTATGTTATTTTGACTTAAAGGAAGATGGTATTCACACCACATATTTGCGAGATATGGGTCTCGTATAAACAAGACATTACCAAGATTTAATTGGGTAATATTTTGGGAAGTCACCAGAGGTAATTAGTGCAGGTCGTGCCCAGGTGAAAACACATTGGATTATGGGAATTCAATGTTAATAAACACAAATTTTGAGCATTCACAATGACCACCACCCTTTAAAATCACAAGTTTTTCAAATCCATGTGAAGAGATTTATTTTTCAAATATTCAATCAATTGGCTTATTTTTATTTTGTACACCTAATTTATACTATTTCATGTATGTGCAATTCTCATTAATATGCAGATTTTCAAACTCTTTGGAAATTTGTTATCGGCTAATCAGTCAAAATATTTTATTAATAAATTTCTAAACAAGTACAATACTGATGAGTATGTTGTTTATATATACCAGTCACATTGTGTTCATGTATATAGTCCCTTATTAAACAAATGATATATGTACATATGTAAAAGACTGAATGCCCACAATCCTTAGCGCTTTGTATATTGCCCATAAACTGAAAGCAATATCCGGGAGATAACACAAAAGAATCATGGGTAATTTAGTGTTTTCTTTGAAACGACAATATCACTATGGCATAAATGTATTTTATTGTAATGTTTATTTAATACATGAAAATAATGATCATTTAACACTACAGCCACACCGATACATATCAATACAAACATCAAAATCACAGAGTATCTAAATTAGCATTACACCCTCCCCAGAAAACAGAATTGACATGAATACAAGGCTATGCTGTAAAGTTATACATGTATGTAAATTGAGAGGGGGAAAAAAAAGATGTTGCACACACGAATTCTTGCAGTGTAACTACTTCTGCGAAAATGAACGAAAACATGTTTAAAATAGCAGCAAATCCAGCGTTGGAAAATCCTATCGTTTTCTTCCTCCTCTGTCTTTGAGTAACAACTTCACCAAACTGTTCCTACTTACATTATAGAATGCCAAGGTGTTGGAATCTTTGATAAACATGCCCTACAAATTACAAACAATAATATTTCAATACAATGATCTTATGCATTAAAGTATGTTACTGAGCAAGCAAGGATTCATAGAAATGTAATCCTAGCAGCGTACTCACCTCCAGTTGGAGTTTTTGTTTCCCGGTTGGCATACCCAATTCTTCAAACAGTTTGGCTTTTATTACAGATATCTGTAAAATTGAATGGAGTTAAACATAAATGTCAAATCAGCTTAGTCAGTTATTGTTCGCTGTGGAAAATTGAAGCCAATACGCAAAGTTGTTTTAACAAGTGAATTCAACCAATAAGAAAGGTGCTTGCAAGTAAATGCCTTTTCTTACCTGATCTGTGATTGGTAGTGTCATAGTAAGTGCCTGTCCATTGAGTTTCCACTCTGGTTTATCAGGTAAGTGAGGAACTTGTACTTTGAACATAACTGGACCCTGTAAATGGAAATCATTCAAGAATGTTTGCTAGAACATACATAGTGTCGCCTTCTCTTCCACCGTTTCTCTCATATATATGTAACCATGGCAAAAAAAGGTACAATGCAGTCAATATTTTTGATGCATCAGTGGGGAAGATTTGTTAAATTTTGGGTCAAAGAACTTTTCAATAAAATTAAAAATGCTGTTTTTTTTTTATAAAGATGAGCAAGCCATTGTGCAGAAACAACATTGTGGAATGCTTCCTTTCGTGTAAAAATAATGCTACTTACAGGATTTTTAACCAAGAATAGATTTTCTGGAAGAAGAGTGTCCTCTGTCTTCTGTTTTTTTGCTGGTGGCTCTTCCTGCATCATTTGCTGTTCACGTTGAGGTGGCATATGAAGTTGTTGCGATGGCATGGATTGCATTTCAGGATGACCTGGAGGTCGAGCCACTGGGGGATTAGGATTGATTCCACCCATGAATTGCATGTGCTGAGGGGGCCCAGGTGGGGGTTGATGACCTGCAAAGAACATAGTTGAACTCTGGTGACCTTGCCCTTTGTTATATAATATAATTCCCTCTATCACAGTTTGTTTCAATATAAATATGCATTGTCATAATTAATTTTGAATACAAACAAGTTTTGGGGTTGAACCAACAGTGGGGAATCAGTCTACCGAATGCCTTAAAAGATGTAAATATCTCACAAAAACATTGGTGCCTTATTTGTTTAATTATTTTAAGGGACATAATTTCCAGTTTTATTCAAAGTAATTCAGATATTTTAGTATAAAAATAAATGCCTCATCGCAAACAAAAAGTTCTGCATAGATTCATAAAACATGCAAGATAACAGAAAATCTTAGCTGGCTTTTGTCCAAGTATTTTGTACTACATGAAAAGTAAAAAAAAAAAAACACCCTTTATGAATAGCTATCATGTTGCAAGCTCTGCTTTGTATGCAAATCAACTTAAATAGTTAGTTGGTGTCCAGTGGAGGGAGAAGTCAACAGTACTGTTGCCTCCTGAGAATCTACATCTTCAAACACTGCAATCTTCAAAGTGCGTTTTTAAACTAGTATTATGAAAACTCTATCATTCTGTTCTAATAGCTGAAACATATTCCTGCGAGTTTTCATTTGTCAAATGAACTGTTTGCAGTGTTCTCCACAATCCAAAATAGCTGGTGGGCGGCCTAATTAGCATGTCATTTACATACATCTTTCTAGCATTTATGTCATGAAATGCAATACACACTAAGTTATTTACTATTCTCTTTTTAATTTAATTGAAACATGTTACAATTTTTTGAAATACAAACAGATTGGTCACTATTAATATTTACGAAATGCAAAAAGTTTGAAATCGGTGATTTATACGTTCACAAATTATTCTGCGTTCAAGAAATGCAATTCGAGTAACCAAGAGCAAGTACGAGTTATAATGTAGAAAATATACGAGGTGATTTGTTCCAGGCGCCAAAACGGACGATTTGTCAAAATAAAACTCGTAACATTTTTTATTTGTGGCATCAGTACTCACCCGTGCCGACGGACGGTAAGATGCATGTACGGTCACGATACGTTGAGTTTTCACACGTGGTTTTGGGATTCAAGAAAAATGCTAGCAATCGGGAAAATAAAAGTATCTGCTATGTTCTCGAAAGATTAGACATAAAAAATGGATAAATGAAAAAAAGTACGTGGAAAAGATAACTAAAATATTATTCAATTACAAATACTCTCGGTAAACTAATCCGGCAGCCATGTTTGATGTTTATTACCGCTTTCCGAATTCAGTACACCCAGAATGCGCTGCTCCCCTATGCAACTTAGATACTAAATCGTTACAGCGCCAACACCGGTGGGTGGCCGACGGTCGTTGAATGGGGT